CGCACTCCGTTGCTCTTATTGGTTGTAGGTCTATCCAATTGAGTGCAGAGGCATTTTTTTTTCGTGGTTCGTTCAAAACACGCCCCATAATCACAGCTCTATGGAGCAGTATCAGACTCATATTCTGACTAGAATTGAGTCGGACTACGTCAGGCTAGTAAAATAGGGCTACATAGAGAAATTAAACAAGCTGTTATCAACAAAAAACTACATTTTTTCTTAAATGTTTGAGTTCAATATCAGCTTTTACACACAGCAAAACCATGAACAGGAACAAATTGGATGTAAAGAACAGCCTGGTATCAGCTTTTTTTCCACACTGAGCCATTGAAGCTCATGAAAACAGCTCAGGTGTCTTGATCAAAACTGATAATGTCTGTCTATGATTTTTGTTCTGTATTTTGTTCCCAATTGTTAATGATAGGCTCTGTGTATGCACCCTGATGCTCTATCTCTCTGGTTCTTTTCACTGAAAAGAGATCACTCGGACAAACTCTTTAAATAACATTTCATAACGTCTGTGTATTAAGTAACCGGGAGACATGACAACAGATTCTGATAGAAATTGTAATCTTACTCAGATCAGGGAAATTGCTTAGGGTTACAGAATGGCAGCTGCTCACCTCTGCGCTCACCTCTCAGGAAGTGGCCCCGATTAAAAGTTAAAAAGGCATTTTATACATCTCCAGTCTGCCACATCATCATATTTTACATCAGACACATCAGCAGATGATTAGACATCCATGGCTCCAGACTTATCAAAATATTACACTTCGTTCTTAGCTGAAGGACACCGCTCTCATTCCATTTCCAAATCTTTGCCACATACAAAATGAAGATTATAGCTGTATATCCAGACAGAGGAACTGCCATAATTAGATTAAAATGTCGGTTCTGACGCACAACAGGCAGCCCATACCAGGGTGTGATAAACTCACACATCTTCAATGATAATTATCCTAACACAATTCATCAAGTTTAAATAAGATTAGGAGGGAGTTAATCAGAGGAAGTCCAGTTTTATAAATAGAGATCTATAATATGATTTTATTTTGATTCCTTACTAACTTACAGGCAACATATTAATGTTGAAGAATTGAATTCCTAAGAATTAAATTGTACGTTCCACTTTAACACAATCATCAAAACATTTGACTAAGAAGGGTACTCATGGTAAGAAAAAGGGCTCAAAGAGGTACACAAGCCAAAAAAGGTTGGTAAACACTGACCTAGAGATTTAGACTTAGAAAAATGTTGTTGTCATTTCAACAGTGAATGAGCATTTCAATTATAAAGTGCAGCAGTGATCGGCGTGTAAACAGTATAAGTGAAAAGGAAAACCAGTTTAAAAATAATGGTGCAAAGGAGCATTAATATGGAGTATAGTATATTAGAATAGAGAGCACACCAGCTTGACCCCCAGATTCCCCATACTCCATGAGGGCTCTGCTCCACCCACTCATATATGTTGTTCTGAATACTCGTCTGTCCTGTTAATTAATGAGAGCTGTTCAACTTCTACTCCTTTCCATCTTCTTCTTCTTCTGTAACCGTCAAAATACAGAGTTTAAGATCCGCAATTGTAATTGCACCAAACAGGAAAAAGAACGTAAAGAGTATCCGATTTGTAAAATTAAATTGAGGTAACAAGAGATCTGTAACTACAACTTCTAGCATAATTCTTATAAATACCCTGTTAGGATTCCAGTTTGTGTGGGGGTTTTTTTTGTGTTTTTCTCTCTCCACCACCAGGCGGTGCCCTGTCCTCGTTGGGCCTCACTGCACACCTGCGACTTGTTGGGTCATTACCAGAGGAGTACTTAAGCAGCAGGCTGTCACCACCTCGACGCCAGAGTCTTTGCCAGTTTTGGATACTCTAGCCATGCTGAGTTTAGTAGAGTCTAACCTGAACTTTGTTTCTCTGAGACTTATGTTGTATTTCTATTTGTTCTTCGGCAGGAAGCCTTCCTGTATAACTGGATACCTGGACCTTCTCTCCCTGGAAGGAAAAACTGAGTTCACACTGAGCAGGGGAAAACCTCCACATGATCCGTTCAAGTTCCCATCAGATATCTGAGTGACAGTCCGCTCCATTACTCCGCCGAGTCCAACGTTTGTCTATCTGTCCGCTCTCCAACGTGTTACCTATTCTCTGGATAATCCCACACAGACTGGATACAAGGATTGACAAGAGCCCCCTCAAACGTGAGTCCTTCTCCTGCATAAATGTAACAGCAGCCTAAATTCCCACGGTCCCTGAACTGATCTCTGTGATCTTCCCTTCTGACTTCCAGTTCCAGTTCACTGAGTCAATGCCAGTTCTCACTACAACAAATAAACCTGTTGAACTTTTCTTCGTGTTCTCTGAGTGGTTTCTCTGCATACGGGTCAGATTCATTAAACCAATCTTGACAGAAATCCTCTTAAAAAGATACCATAAACATTAAGAGATTTAACATTCTCTGCATTAACCACAGGCCATGAGAATGCTTTGTGCAAATACCCAGAGGAGAGCTATTGTTCATTCCCAAAATGTTATTCCAGTAATGCCCATGCCTTCTGATAGCCTTTGTCTGAGGACATTTGGTGATAGCTTCAAACAAGCTCTCATGGTTCTCTCCTTGTGTGCTGAGCCAAAAAGTGCAGACAGAATTCATTGTCTTCTGTTCTTTCTACATTGTACTCAAAGGCTCTCATAAAGGCATGATAGTGAATTGGATCTCCATGTCTTGATTGTTTTATTTCAGATATCCAGCATTTTACATCTACAATAAATCCCTTGCCATGTTTATTGATGCTTTCAAACCACACTTTTTATTTGTCCTTTTCCACCTCAGGAAATATTTCCATCAGTGACTCATACAGGTACATTGCTTCCTCATGCAAATACATCAATATGTCCAGTTGGATTTTCACCTCAGAAACATTATCATTCTAAATGGTAAATGGCATGTACTTATATATCGCCTTTATTCAAGTCAGGAGACTTGACCAAAGCGCTTTACACTACATACATTCACCCATGGAAACACACAACTCATCTGAATATATAGTCTTCAGGTGTTTATCCCCCAGCAGAGCTTGCAGGGGGGTATCAATTTGACTAATTTCTAGTTCTTTCCATTTTGCTTCATAACCCTCTTTACACCAGTAAACCGCGAATTGCAGTTGTGCTGCTTTGTAGTAATTTTCCAAACATGGGAGCCACATTCCTCCTTTATCTCTTAGTAATTTTAATGTTTTATAGCGTACCCTTGGTTTCTTATTCCGCCATATAAACCTGGAGATGATCTTGTTCCACATAAATGATTATTGTTTCATCAGTTAAATGGGAATCTTTAATGAGATACCAAAAACACAACGTTTTTATATATACAGAATAGCAGCATCACATTTTTAGGATTTGATGCAACAATCGCTTCAGCCAGTAGATGCCACCCAAGGGAATTGAATGAAGCTTTGGGTAGTGAACCAGGTGATATTTATTAGACAATCATTCAGCTACAAACACACAACCACAGACTAGCTCCACCAATGCACACACATCCATACTGCCAGACATGCACATTACGCCCAATGACAAGTACAAAATACACATCCTTGCTTCTACACTCAACATTACACTTATTCTGTAGAAGTTCAAAAAAACGACCGACCCTTAACAATCATAGACAGGTTTAAGGTATTGCAGGAGACAATCCCCCCCTTTAACGACAATCCCCCCCCTTTAATGACCGACCTTCAGAATCATAGACAGGTTTCAGATATTACAGGCTAACAATGGAACCAAACGACCCACTCATCGGTTACCATTTGCATGTTTCCAAGCAATAAAAGGCCTTGTCGATATAAGACTCAAACTCACTGCGGATCCAGACATTTGAATTGAGAAAGCTTCCTGGAGAGGTGGCGAAACGTCTTCAAATCTTGGAAACCAAGTCCAGTGGATATTTTTTGAACTTCTACGGAATGACTATGACCTAGATGACTAAGAATCTTCATCAGCAACATTACACTTATTTAACATAAAAAATATATGTGGGCAAATCAGGTAGACTTCAGTTTGCAGCTACTGCTATGTTTATGCTTGATCTATTTAAAAATATGGCCTTCATTAACCATATGAAACAAATATAATTATTATGTAAGAAACTAAATCTGTCTTCATATCGTGAAAAAGAGCAGAGTTGCAGCTGAAATGTATATTTTTTTCATTCCTCCCGTGAAATAATGGTGCAAGGTTTAATTACAAGGGAAATGGAGCCACTTTAATTCAAAGGTAAAACCTAAAAATTATTTAAAAAAAATGAAACATACCATCCTTTATTTTGTGAGAAAGTTTGCCCTCAGCATAAAAACAGAATGCAGCAAAAAAAAAAAAAAAAAAAGTGTCTTCGCTGTGTCATATAAGTGATCTGTGCCTGAAATTTTCTGGGAAAAACAGGGATGCTCAAAATTCTATGAATCTCTAGGCCTATTAAAAATCACAGTAGAGTGTAATGAGCATTTGCTTGCCAACATCTACAGGATCCTATGGTAAATGTCCCTTTTTTTTAATGCTTTTCTTGTGACTGATCTCAGCTAAAATTTGCAACAGACTTAGAATAAATTGAGGTAATCCTGCTCCCTACACAGAGTAAATGGGGGTATTCATTTGACTTGGGATAATTTAGGCTTTCTGAAACCGAAAATCTAGGATATGCAGGGATTTTCCCCAAAATTTATTCTAAATATTTACTTCTCCTAGCCTGGCAGCTAGACTAATTAACACCGTGTTGACAGCATATTGTTTATTATTGATTTTTATTACTGTTGTAGGTGCTTGTAAAACCTTAATAATACCTGCCTCTTATGTGTCAATACAAATGTTTTCCCAAGCACTTTATCTGTGTAGGACAGCTCTTCTGTCAGGAGAAAAGTTCACATCTTCATTATGTACATAACGAATGTTTGGGAACAGAATGGGAGCATTGTGCTTGATCCAGAGCGCTATAATATCTTGATATGGCTGGAGCCAGTGAAGTCTCCTCACGTACAAAAAGTGTATGATGTAATCATATGAGATTTGATGATGTGCCCAGGTGGAACACTAGAGATGTGTAAAATGCTTTCTTTAAATCGTTATTCGGGGCTGCTGCTGACTCTGGTGAAGTGAAGCCGATGGCCCATCATCACCATGAAATCTCTTTGGTCTGAGTAAGATTATCATTCTGTAAAAGCTGTTGTCATGTTTTCTATTCATTATTACATAAACCTTATAAAGTATGATTTAAAGTGTTTGTTCTGAGTGATCTCTTCTCTGGATAGAATTGAGTAGAGAAAGCTAAAAGATAAACACAGAGCTTTCTTTTACAGTGTTATGAGTTATGCCATGTGAGTCAGTCTGACTAGAAGGCTGCCCTCATCCTGATTTAAAAACAGTGCCTTGGAGTATTAGCAGACATATCAGTCCTTCTAGTCCATTCCTCTCTTCTAACCCCGCTTTTGCTGCTAAATCAATAAGCATAATCTCATTAGCCACTGCATAAAAAGGGCCACTCCCTAAATGCCGGGTTTCCTTTTTTTTCCTTTCTTTCTTTTTATTTTTTTTTTGCCTGCACCTTAATTTGAGGTCTGTTTGATAAAGCAGTTTTAACAAACTCAGTACCAAATCCTTGTTAATTCAGAGTTAAGGAGTTAAACTGAATTTTTGGTGTGTGTTTGTTTAATTCACTCTGAGTAGGTTGACTCAGTCTAGTGCATGCAAACAGCTATAAAAAGCCATTATCAGTGGACCCCTGATTTGAGGTCACCATGACAACAGGCAACAGAGGTCGACTTATTTCACACCACTGGAACAGGAGAATTTTATACAGAATTTAAGAAAATATGGAAACATTTGTTTAAAAGAAAGAAAACCGCTCCACAGCTGCAAAGGAGACAGAAATGGCATAGGAAAATATTGCTCCTGGAGCTGTTGTGTATGTTCGTATGAATTATTTTATAGCAAATCGTTCTGACATTTGATAAAAGTGCTCTCCTCTCTTTAGTTCCATTTGAAGATCACTAAAATAGGATTCTTCCTGGTTGAAATTACTTTCCTAGTCAGAACTGAGATAAAAGATTAGCTAAATTTCATTTTTTGCCAGCAGAAACTGAATTTTAGAGTGTCAAAATAACAAAATTGTACCAGTAAGAGTTAAGCCTCCAATGCCTAGAAATTTAACACATATTATATCTCATACCTGAAATTATTTCTTATTACTTATCTTATTACTTCTTATTCAAAATAGTAAAAAATATATATATATGACCAGGAATATGGAGATCTGTAACTAATTATTAGACATGTTTATTTTAGATAGGAAGAATCTTATTTTTGATGTTTGAAATTTTGATTTCGACTAGGAAGAAATTTATTTCAGATATCAGAGATACATATTCACTTAAATGTAAATAAGGCCTTCCACCATCTGTTGTAACCAAGATAATCACTACAGGAGGAAACTAGTTTAGCCTGCTGCTTGAATGGAGATCTGTGCATATAATAGGTGCAGTCCCATGGGGGGAGGAGCGCACATGGCAACAGATGAAGTATAAAAACCTGTGCATCATCATGGGATTCCTCCTTATTTTGATTCTGTCTTACAAAACTCAATAATAACTAAGTTGCTGTTTGGCAGTGCTGTTATCACACATCACTGTGCTCTAAGCGGTATCACCTTCTAATAAATAGCAGGAAGTCTGCGTAAACTTACCGAGTTTGAAAGGACAACTGGTTTGAGAATCCTCTCCTGGCGAACATCCAGGTCTCTGCTAATTAAAGCCACTCCTTCATTGATTGGATCCTCGTCTAAAGGACAAGCCATATTTGCGTTTTTAACACCTGAAGTGTTAATCTCACCTTCTGATAGATTTTTTGTTATTATTGTTCGCACAGATCTACGATGCAACTCTCCTGACTAAAGCAGGAAATGAAACGAGGTGTGTAACTTTAAGGAGGGCGGAGACAGAGGAAGACCTGCTCTGACCAGGGTAGCGCCGGAGAGTTCGTTACTATGGCAACAGATGCGGGGGTTGAGTAGACTCAGAGTTCCCCTGATTTTATTCTTAACAAACTCAAACTTTCTTCATCGAGCATCAACTGCAGTGATCTTGCATAAAAACCGCGGGAGTGCATCTCTGTGCTATTTGTTGTTAGTATGGTATAAATCTAAAAAGCAAGTGTCTTTATTTTCCTGTTTAGTGTTTAGAGATCAGAACTATATTTTGTTTTATTTGTAAAGAGAGTTTATTTTTTGTTTTGGCCTCGGAGCAGTCATCCTGCTGACTTACTGTTTGTTATGTTTTGTGTTTCATGCTTCATTTTGCTTAGTTCATTTGTGAACAAAGCCTCTGTATTTGCAAGTGGGTAAACAAGAAAGCAATGGGCAGAGCCAGTTGTCACTAATCTACATGACAAATTGAAGAACATTTTCCCAGAACTGAAAGTATTGCAAAGGTTAATTAAGTCTTTATGAGATTTTGAGATTAAAAACAATATTTATTCATTTATTTTGGTGGTTTATGCACGGTTAGAAGCATTGGTGTGCACAGACTTTTTGAAGGGCAGGGCTGGAAAGAAGAAAACATGCACATATAGTTCATCATCACCCCTGTGGAGGGCAACCAGGGGGCATTTTAGAACACATTTTGGCTTAGGGGGTCTTTTGACACACCCTCAGCTCCCTAGGGGGCACTTGAGGGGAATTTAGCACGCACTTTAACTCCTGAGGGGGCAGTTTAGCATTTGTTTTGGCTCCTGAAAGGACATTTGAAGAAAGTTTATTACATATTTTTACTTCTAAGAGGACACCTTCACAGGCGAGCAGACCCAGATGTTTCAGTCATTCTAAGCCCTTTCTATTACCTAACTCTGACAATACCCTAAATATAATCATTAACTGGGCATACCTTACCCTGACTCTAAAGATAACTCAGTTTACACCTTAGTCATAACCTCCACAAAACCTCACAATTCTGTTCTTCATACTGACAATTTAAGTATAAACAGCATTATAAATAGGAAAATTATAGATTATCTTGATGCTGTCCCCTTTTTAACGTTTGTTATGAATGGGAATTGACTTTTCCCTTGATATTCTTATAAAAGGCTTCTAGAAGGATTCACTCAACTTAGAGCAGCTGTAGATCAGTTTATTTAGCAACATTGGTTGATCTTCCACCATGCTGAGCTGTAGCTTTACTGCAAGGCATTGCAGGATGGTTGGGCTCGATGTGGGTCTATTAAGTGGCCAGTGGCACCTAGAGTGAAAAGTATCTGGTATGCCATTTTCAAAGATGTCGCATGCCAGTTCTAAAAGTGTTGTAGCAGTTCAAAAACTACATTTGAAATTAGCATGCCACTGCCAGTTACATAATTGGCATACCAGTTTCAAAAGTGGCATATTCCACTATTATGCATGGCATGCACATGTATAATAGGTCATTCTAAGCATCTGTTGTTTTACAACACAGAAGAAGAAGAAGAAAAAGAAGAAGCAGAGTTCTGCATTTGATTAAGTCAGATTAGATGCTACAATTAGGCCAATGCTTAGCAGATCACCTGTTTACTGTAATATTGACAACAGGCTACTGCTCTCACACTATCAAAGAAAACACGGTCAAAGCAAACTGGCCTACCTGTTTCAAAAGTGTCATATGCCATCTTCAATACTGGTATAACTTTTGTAACTTGAATGCCTGTGGCATATGCCACTTTATAAAGTAGCAGAAAAGAGACCACTTTTTTCTCTCATTGTCACTTTAAGTAGCTACATCAATTGTCACCATCTGGCTTTCTGATATTTCTGTGGTTTTGGTGGCAGATGGCACCATGTCTGTTTATGTCTGCACACTGCTTCCCACTACTGGAATTTTATTTAGGCTAAAAAAAATGACGAAAGACCAGGACGGATGTGTGGTGCTATAATCTTATTTCGTTTTGATCAGATAATTTGTGTATTTTTTTTTTTTTTTTGTATAGACATATAAAGTGACCATGTACCTTTAAGTTCGGAAATATGGGATCAGATTGCAGGCTACTTTATATAAGATGTCAGCACTTTAAGCTATTACTAGCACAGCACAATATACATATTACATAGTCTACAGTATAATATCATCAGTTTGACAAAGATGATATGAATTTATCCTAACCTTTGGCGTGCTGATAAATCCTGGTGAGTCAGTGTAGTTGGACCATTTAAATATCAAGACACCGAAGTGCCTGACACATTTTCCATTCACCAAACAGCCGGTCCTGTGCTTCCTGTGTCAGTGGAGCAGTGGTCTATCTCATAGTTTAAATACCTAAGAGTTATTTTTACACTCATACAGAGGAGGCATTTTCCTAAATTTGAAACTTAAATCCAACAAATGGCTTCAGCATATTTTGTTGTGTGAGGATATTCAAGTTGCTTTATTGTAAATAACTATTATCTTTGTGAAAATCATGTTATTTCAACATCTGCTAGACATGGTATCAGATCATAAGGGTTTAATGTATATAATGACAAAAAAATAATAATGTGAATGAGACAAATTAATAAAATATATATCTATAATAAAAATAGATAAAAGTGAACTCATCTGTAGAAACGTAGACAAAGGTTAACCACTAGGTGGCGCCATTTGTTGACCATTTAGCCTGCTATAGATATGGTTAGAGGCCAGAAAAATCTACGTTTTGGAAATCGGATACAACAGGAGAGGAACATTTTTTTAATGAAACGGCCATACGATGAAACAGGTCTAAAAATAGATGGTAATTTGGAACAGATGTTTGTTTGTTTGTTTGTTTGTTTGTTTGTTTTTTCACAACACACACTAAATAGGTAGCCTACAAATTATTAATTATTGTAATGTTAAATATAACCTGAATATTCTGTTGCTGGTTATATTAAACAGCAACAGAACTATTAAAACAATTGTGCAAAGTAAAAGGAAAAGAAAGTATTTAATCAAATGTAAATCTGATCAAAACAATACAAAAACTGATATAAAAAGTATTCAGAATACAATAGTAATTTAGTGTATTTCATAATGTTTAGTTAGTGTCTAATACGCCTTTTTGAGCTTTACAAGTTAATATATAATTAATCTTCTGTTTTCTAACTTTTGCACAATGAGTTTAAAAGCTTTACATCATAGGATCAAACTTTATGTTTCAGGGTTTTGCCAAATTTTCTATTGCATTAACCCCAATTACCAGTTAAAATATGTCTCAGAAAAGAGCTAAAGAAAGTAAGAAAAATTATAATAAATTGCTTTTTGTGATGTTATCATCAGGGAAAATTATTCAATTTAAAAACAGCAAAAAGAAATACAATTTGCTGTTGTTACAGGAAAGTCTAATAAACATCTTAGGCAAATAATAATATAAAGAGTTTCCGGCATTTTTGCCTCTAAGGAAAACACTTTAGGATTACTAAAAAAAAAAAGAACAAAACAATGAAATACAATTAATAATAATTTCTTCTTGCTACAGGGAGAAAACATAAATTAGAGAAATGTCAAATAGTAAATAATAATTCTGAAATTCAACTTTGAAAATGTGTCTAGGTAGGAAACGAAAAGCCAAATATAAGGGTACAGCGACTTGGTTACCTGAAACCACTAGATGGCGCTCCAATTCTCTATATTGACCTAAGAATTTTAAAAAGCATTTAAAGCCAGTCAAAACAACAACAAAAAAAAATCGTTTACTGTTATCAAAATGAATACACCAAGCCTAAAAAGAAAGAAATAAACATGCCTAATATAGGCCCACATTTACCATAAACCAAGCGTTGAAATAATGTCCATTTTTAATTAGTCAAGAATTCATCACTTTAACTTCTTCCTAAAAAAAATTGTTAAGAATATTTTTGTTAGTACTACTACTATTTTCATTATTGTTAAACGCGTATTGTTTAAATAAGCAATGGAAGCATATTTTGGTAGAGTTCAGACTCTTATTTTGAAAGAGCCAACAGGAGGCGCTCCATGCATCTCTCCTGTCAGTTTTCTGTTTTGTCCTCCTCCACCAGAGCATCTCCAGCTCTGCCGTTCTGCAGCGACGCAACCAGCGCTCCTGTCCTCGTTCAGAGGCAGCAAAGTGGGTCAGCGCAGCGCCGCAGACACCAGCCGGGCCGCCGGTGGGGATGGCGTCGCTCAGCCGCAGGCGCGGAGCGTCCAGGAGCGGCGTGGTGGAGAAGAGGAACCTGCTCACAGTGTGCAGGTAGATGATTCTACACTTCATGATAAAGATGGCTTCAAATATTTTTTTTTTTAAATCAAGGGGTTTGCTTTAAATCTAGAAATATCTCATATATCTCTACATCCTCTTCCAAACAAAGCTTCTGAGTCAATGCAGAGGTCTAATTAGACATGGAAAGTAGGTATGTGGTGGGTTGTCTGTGCTGAACAGCTTAATGTCATCCAATTTTTTTCTCATTCACAGCATCCTCCTTCCTCCTTCATTAAACATTTATCATACCTTCATATTTTTGTTCTTATACCTTCACACTCAGCCCAGTGAAGCTACAGACTCACAGATCCAACATACAGAAAGATGTTGCAGATGGCACACTATTTATTTATTTTTATTTTTGTATTTAACTAAACAATCAACTTAATTAGTGAGTCATAGTCTGACATTATTAAAAATAATATATCCATAAGAGCAACATTTAATTGAGTATATCATTAAGAAATATGCCAAAAAAATTATTATATTCATTTTTGCAGCACAGCTTTTGAGTTTTATTTAAATAAACAGACCTACATTTATATAAACTTTGCTGAGGTGCGCACAGGCTTGTCATCTGCTTGTCTAGCTTGTCTTTGTTATTTACTGATCAGAGCTTGGAGTTCAGAGAGAATTGATGTATGGCCCTTTGAGTGCTGCTGACATGTCAGTTATTGACTGACAGCCAGTCCCTGATGAATGTTTTTGACAGTAAACGAAATCATAAAGGAAAGCGTTGATTGTTTATTCTGTCTTGACAATAGCTCATCTGAAAACAAGCCTGACAATGTAGCATTTTAGCCATGTTTAGAGACATGCTTAGGAGATAAGAAGCAACTTTTGCATCAGTGAATGTTTCTTTAAGAATTGAGCTTTGACATAATTAAAGCAGGCTGCAGCTCACTGACGGTGGATATTTTGCCAAAAATGTCCTGCTTCCATATTAGTCCTCATTAATGCTGACTGTCTTGGGGCAAAAAAAAAAAACAGAGCAAAGAAAAGATGCTGGAAAAGACTGGATGATGGGCATTCCAACAGGGTACATCTCTGCTTCTACACACCAGAATCAAATGGCTAAATGTTTGCACTTAGATTATTAAAAGCGTATAAAAGAGTAAATAATTTGAGTGTAAAAGAGTAGATTAACACACTATAGGTACTAATTCAGCAGCTTCACGTCTATATTTAAACAGAACCACATTGACTTTTTATACTGATTTCTCCTGGGTGCTCTTTAATGGTTTATGCAAAAGTCTAATTTGTAGCAATTTATTCAGATGGCCTTTCTGTGATGTTTGTTTTTGTTACAGCTAAAGATGACTTAGATTTAGTTATCACAAGACAGTGCAAAACAAACAAGTAAATATACAGACAATGACATTATAAGTGAGCCAAATTACATAGATAGAT